AATATAATGAAATCCTTACTTTTTGCTCTTCAGAAATTATGAAAAAAAGGTTGAGAATTTAGCAAGAAAAATTTATCAGAAGTTGAAACTTGTTTCTGAATGAATTTTTGTAAAACCCTTAACGCCTTTAAATAAGGCAATGCCAATCCTGGGAGGTCAAATTTTTGGAAATAAAACGCATTTTAAAAGGGTGTTTTACATATTTGAATTATTGTTATGTCAGTTAAGCGTAGAAGAGTTATTGGTGGGCCCACAAAACAGGTAAAAAGTATTTACAAAAGGCGTTTTAATAAAATGCAGTATTAAAAGGCGTTTTACCTTAACGTCCCAAACAGACGTTAAGGTAAAACGTGGTTCAAACAGACGTTAAGGTAAAACGTGGTTCAAAACTGCATTTTATATACTTTGGTCACTAAGTTTTTTCCCCACCTATTTATGTATTTTGAGTCCAAAAAAGCAACATTTAGGTTCCGGACTTTACAATTTAGTTCATAACCTCATTCAATAAAAATTACAGTGCTTCAATCCACACTAATTAAAATCAGTAAGCTACCTCCAATCACAAAAAAAATCAACCTATTTCTATTTAAACCATGATCATGAACAAGTACATATAAGAAATTGTGTTATTGTGATTTATTTGGCTATATATATCTTTAAATTTCTTTCATTTAAAATTCGATTAGAACCAAAGATAAAAGATTTTGAAGGTTACGACATCAGTTTGCCTCTACAGGAATAGAATAACGGTTACGACATCAGTTTATCAAGTTAGAAATCGACTAGATGAATTCTAGTATTCAAGTCATTTTATTTAGAACAAATACATAGATAGCCCATTGAACTTGCTCCATTTGTTATTTTGGCACTCTATCTCAACCTTATTCCATTTGGCCCTCCAACTCCATTCCTTTTGTGTCATTTTAACACAAAAGCTTTTATACTACGTTAAAATGCAGCACATATACATACTTGCTTCAAATGTGTAACAACCATCCAAATAGATTTGGACACCTATTTTTTTATTCTTGACAGCTGGGTTTAATCCAAATACTCAGCTGCTACACCTCCCTCCCCCCCCCCCCCGCCCCACCCTCACCCCACAGCCCCTCCACCCCTAATTTCAAATTTTTATTTTTTCTGTTTTTCTGCACCCCCCTCCCCCGGGGGAAAAAATATTTCTTTTATATATTTTTAGTTTTATTTTTTTCTTCTTTCGATTTACAGGTTCGAAATTTTACAAGTTTCAAAGTTACGAGTTCAAAGACTTATGTGTTTTGAAGTTCACGGGTTTAGAAGTTATAAAGTTTACGAGTTCAAAAGTTCGCGATTTTGAAAGTTTAGCGGTTCAGAAGTTTAAAAAATTTGTGGGTATTTCAAGATATGCATGCACACACGTTTCACAAAATATAAAATTTATTTCAAAATATTTTATTTTTTATTTTCTTTTACAAAACCGACCAACTTTGGTCGATTTTTTGCGCAAAAATACGAGAAATTCTTTTAGTGTCCCGCAAAATTTATTTTTTAAGAAACCGTCTGAGTCGGTCGGTTTTCATATAAACAGTGAATGGGGAAGGAAATAATGAAGATGAAATATGGGGGAAGGAAGTTGGGGATTAAAAGTGGGGCCAATAGTTGTTTTATTATTGTTGGAGAGGGAATTTTGCCAAAAACAATCTGCCTCACGTGCCTACCATGTGAGCCAATTCACACTATGTGACTAGTCATCTTTCGTGTTCAAATGAAACATAAGATATAGAGTTGGAGGGCCAAAATGGTACAAGGTTGAGATAGAGTGCCAAAATAAAAAATGGAGCCAAGTTCAATGAGTTGTATATGTATTTGGCCTTTTATTTAAGATCATCCCAAACAAATGTAACATGCTCATATCACCGCTAAGCCAGAGATAGAAAACTCACACAAACGCAGCTATAACTCCAAAATTAGTATTATTATTAGAGGTGACAAATGGACGGGTCGAATCGAATGTCCGATCGAAATGGGTAATGTAAAAATGGATAAATTATTCGATTTGACTCATATCTAATACGGATAAAAAACGGATTAACCGACGGATAAAATGAATATCTTTATTATCCATGACTCCTTGAATATGATCACTTTTGAGAGAATTCCTAATTTTCCAAACTTGAGGAACTCCCAATTTGAGGTTTTACAAATATAAAAGTTTTATTCATTGGTTAAATTTTCTAAATGAATAGTTTAATTTTTATCTATATTTGACGATGTAAACAATAAAATTGTGTCAATAAACTAATCGGGCCGAAGAATATTGCAACAATCGTAGTATTTGATTTCAAATAGTTTGAGTGTTACAATCTCTATGATTCCTCTAATTCTACTTTTCCAATATAAATTCAAGGGCCTTTGAACTTGATCTTGAACCTATATTTTTTGTCACGAACGATGATCTTGAATTCAACTAGCACGAACTTTGATTTGAACCCGTACTCCTTGAATCTTGATTTGTTCTTCGTTCTTAAGTTTGAACTTGATTTCTTGAACTTGATTGCTTGAAGCTTGAAACTTGTGGAGGAATTTGCAGCGTTTGACCCACGAGCTCTTTCTTGCTTCTTGTTATTACTTCTGGTCTTTTTTCTGAGTTATGAAAACCCCTATTTATAGTTATGGGAGGGAAGAGTTGTGATAAGAACAAACTCTTTCCGACCAATCAGATTGAAAAGTAACAAGACCGCATTTGATTGGTCAGAACATGTCACTTGCGCACGTGGCGCGATTTCATTGGCCTTTTAATGTGACTTGGCATGCCTTGTCATTTTGACATGTGGCATGATCCTATTAGCTCTTCCATTTTACTTGGCATGCCACGTCATTTGACACGTGATACTTGGCCTTTAGGAAGATAACATCTTGGGCTTAATGAAGTGAACTCATCACATTAGCCCAATTAAATGGGCTAGTCCGATGGATCAAGACTTATTTATTTAATCCATATATATTAGACTTATATAACTAATTCAATTATTAGCCCAACACATTTATTTGAAGTAACATCTTTGATTTAAAGATATAATCCAAATAATTTTATGGATTTAAATCCAATAAAATTTAGATGCCTACAGACTCATTTTTTAAAAATTTCGTTAACCAATTTTTAAATAATTCTTATCCATATATTACTATTTTACCACCATTAATTACTAGTAAGAAAAATGAAAGAGGAAAAAGATGAGCACCGCCCAGCTTTCTACCCAATTAAACAGGGAACAAAACCTTTCCTTCTCAGCTTCAATCCATCATTATAATGGCCACCCTTGACAGTGACTTTGGACCACTACTTACTTTCTCCTTTTAAGTTATTGATATTTCTTCGTTTATACAATATGGCTCGCGTGTGGCGCTCCATCCGATCCTGTGGCGGTGGTGGTGTCCACACTCTACCCCAGATTCAACGTCATTTATTTTACCGGTTTATACACAACCTCATCTCTCTCTTTCTTCTCTTATCTTCTTATCTACTTCTATTTTTCGATAAGTTTGTTTAGCAACTATTTTTTTTTGTAGGCCCATAGCTTGTTTTTGCTTTTTTCTCTATGATCACGCGATTCAATCCCATCTTCAATACCGTAGAAATGATACCAGATAGTAACTTTAAAGGATTCCTATTTCAAGCAAAATAAATACTGATTAATATCCCTCATTTTCACACGACAACAATATAACATATTCGGTAGAATCCGCAAATAGGATAAATAATGTCTGAAAACCTTATCCTAACTTACAAAGATATACAAAAATATAGTGTACGCAGGTCTTCTTATAAAGATAAAAAAGTTATCTCCGATAGTCAAAAAAGTTATTTCCAGGAGACATCCAGCTCAAGAAAAGCTAATAGCGAATTTCCACACTATCGTTCATTTATTGGTCTTCCCTTAAACCACATGACCATCACCCAATGGAACAGTAATAAAATCGGAAACTGAAGTTGAAATTAAAGAAGAAGATTTCAAAGAAGAAAAAAACAAGTAACAATCAATACTGTCGTGCGTAATTTGAGATTTTCTAATTAGCAACTACCAAACTGAATATTAACATACAACCCCTTTGGATTATATTCATAATCCTCAATATATCCATCGCCATAATAATAATAATAATAATCGTTCCCTTTTTTCTCTATAATCGCCGCTTGTGGCTTGAAGAAGCAGTACTGGTCCGGTCCAATTGAGAACCTTTTCGCCAGTAAAATTTTGAGACCGAACTAATTAAAAGCTGCAGATTTCAGTTATCTTCGTCGCAACTTTCAGGGCTAGGATATTCATTCAAATCCGGCTTAATAGTAACCCTTCTCGGGTTAATATTTGAGTTACTGTTGGATTCAGTAGAACCTGCAGACGAATTATGATGAAGGGCGGCAATTTGCAAAGCATCAACTCTAGCACCAACTTCAGTAGCTTTTTTGCGAATAGAAGCAGCAGATAAATCGTGAAGTTCACGGTCATCATTAACTATACATTCAGGGAAATTAAGCCTAGCCGTAGGACCTCTGAGATAAAATACGGCGGTGTCATAAGCTCGAGCGGCGGCAACAGGGGAAGAGTAAGAACCAAGCCAAATTCGAGACCTTTTATTTGGTTCTCTAATTTCAGCAACCCATTTACCCCACTTCCTCATCCTTATACCTCTATATGGCTTATCTTGTTGGTGTTGCCTTTGCTTTCTCTTTTCTCCTTCCATCATCGAAACCATCAAAATTACAACAAAATAGAATCCTCCTTTTGGTTTTCTCTTTCCCAAAAAAGGGAACTCTATAAGTTATTGAAAATCTATCCTACATAAAGAGAAGAAGAAAAAGGGAAGAGGAGATGGGGGAAGGAGAATCTAAGAGAAAAATCAAGTTACTAACAAAGAACGTTTGCTATGAAAACAGCTGTCATATTTATATGAAGGGGGGAATATAGAGATACAATTTTTATATATTTATATAGAAAGAAAAAGGAAAAGAAAATACCCATAGGCAGGGGCGGAGGGAACTCAAAACTTTGGATACGTAATATAATTTTATATATAAAAATTTATTAAAATTATAATAAATATTAGATTGAACTTAATAATAATATAATATTAAAATTTTTAAAAATTAAATTCATTAAATTTAAATTCTAAATTTGCCTCAACTTAGATGGCGGGGTTGGTGTGGGTGTGGTGTTGTGTCTGACAGGGGGAGTTGTGTGTGTGGATGATTGAGGAAGAGAGCATATGGAGCACGCATAAGGGGGAGGGGTTAATGTTTTGTTTTTTCTTGAGTTGGCTGCTAGTGTGTCGTCTAGGCACGGCCGCCACGTTGATCTTCCTTAAAGATAAGTATAAATTCGGCCGACATATTCCATCGACACACACATTTCCCCTTATTTTGTTCCGCTTTCTTCTCAGCACTTACGCTAGGAAATACCAATTTTATTCTTGGATTCAATTAATATACTCTGTATGTTTTTTCTTCACATTGTTTTTCTTTACATTATGTAAACAGTGAAGAAGTTTTTATCCTATTAGATTATCTAAAAAATATTTATAATTAAATCAATATTTATTGGGGTTTTTATATTTAGCTCGTATCAAAAATTATTTATTTTTGATAATCAAAAAAGTTTATAAAATTTATATATATAACGTACAAAATGTATATATATACAAAAAAATAATAATTTTTTCAGCTATTATTTTAAGAACGACTATACAATATTTTTTTTTTATTCTATTAAATTATTCAAAAAAATATTTATCGATAAACTTCTAAAAATTCTAGCAACGTATATAACTTAATCTCATTTAAGAATACGGTGATTGTTTTGTGAAAAGAAGCAAATCTAGCTTGTGGCTAACTATATCTGTGAGCCCTAATACATGCAGTACGAGAAGAAACGATTTCAGAGAAGAACGGAGCAGAGAGAAATGTAAGATCTGATTTTGGAAAATGAGAAAATTGTATTGTCTCATATGTATCGCCCAACTATTTATACATGTGATGCTATTAAATAAATCACCGACCTTCTTTAATCACTTCCTAATTGCAGTTATAACTAACTAATTAACTACACCATTACTTCTAATTATAGTTACAATATTCTAACCAATCCATTGCTCAATACTCCCCTTCAAGCTGGAGGGTGTAAAAACATTGAGCACTCCCAGCTTGGACATCAAATATTCATGCTCTGGTCTCCCTAAAGCTTTTATAAGGATATCTGCTATCTGGTTCTTTGTGTTAACGTGGATTGTCTTCACTATCCCTTGTTGAATTTTTTTCTCGAATGAAATGGCAGTCTATTTCAATATGCTTTGTCCTTTCATGATATACTGGGTTTGCTGCTATTTGTAGAGCAGTCTTGCTGTCACAATGCAGTTCGACTGGTACTTCAACCTGGGCTCCTAGTTCTTTGAGCAATCCAATTATCCAAACCAATTCTGATACAGTAGTAGTCATGCTTCTATATTCAGACTCTGCTAAACTTCTTGACACAGTGTTCTGTTTCTTTGATTTCCAGGAAACAAGTGAATCACCATACTTTATTGTGAACCATGTTACAGATGTTCTGGTATTTGGGCATGATGCCCAATCTGCATCACAATATGCAGTCACCTATAGCTTCTTCTACTGCTCATCAAAAGCCCAATCCTGGCTCCTTCTTGATGTATTTCACAATTCTTAGTGCTGCTTCCTAGTGAGATTTTTTTGGTTGTTGCATGAATTGGCTGAGCATCTGCACAGCAAAGGCTATGTCAAGTCTGGTAAGTGTTAGATACAGTAGTTTGCCAATCAACCTTTGGTACTGCTCTTTGTCTTCAAATGGCTCATCACTATTTTCTCCTGCTATGTCATCTGATTCCTTGCCAGTGAACTTTTGATTGCTGTCAAGAGGTGTGTTGACTGTTTTAGATGCACTCAACCCTGCATCTGAGATGAGTTCTAAAGAGTACTTTCTTTAGTTCATCAAAATACCTTCTTGTGATCTGCTGAACTCAATCCCCAAGAAGTACTTTAATTCACCAAGATCCTTTATCTTGAAGGCTTCTTGAAAGTTCACCTTTGTGGCCAGAATTAGCTCTAGATTGTTTACTGTCAACAACATGCCATCCACGTAGACTAGAATAATCACTATGTTGTTCCCTGTTTCTTAGTGAATAGAGAATAATCCAGAGTGCTCAGCACAAAGCCTTGCTTTACCAATGCTTCAGTAAACTTTACAGTCCATTGTCTACAAGCTTGCTTAAGCCCATATAAGGATTTGACAAGCCTGCATACTGCTCCTTTATTCTTCCCCCTGGCTTGCAAAACCTTCAAGGAGTTTCAAATATAACTCCTCATAAAGATCACCCTGCAAGAAGGCGTTGTAAACATCCATTTGGTGAAGATGCCATCCTTCAGCAGCTACAATTGAAATGACTGCCCTAACTGTCACTATTTTCACCACAGGTGAAAAGTTTTCCTGATAATCGAGTCCCTCCTGTTGATTGTATTCTTTTGCCACTAATCTGGCTTTGAACCCCTTTACATCACCATTGCCTCGTATTTGACTTTGAAAACCCACTTGCAACCTATAGGATATTTCCCTGGTGGCAGCTGAACAACTTCCCATGTCTTGTTTTCTTTAAGAGCCTGAATCTCTGCTTCCATTGCTTCTACCCAGTGTGGGTCTTGTGAAGCCTCAGAAAAGGTTCTAGGCTCTGCGATTGAAGTGAATTCTGCTAGATAATGCTGATAATATGGCTTTAATCTGGCATAGGTGAGGTAGTTCTGCATTGCATATGGAATGTGAGAGTGAGATTGTGAATCAACTATTGTTGTTGCTGTGATGTAGTTACTCATCCATGCAGGATTTTCTTGTCTCTCTCTAATCTCCTTAAGGGTGCCATAGGTGGTACTGGTATGGCCTGTGTTGGTATAACCTGTTGCACAACTGAATTATCTAGTTCATCTGTCATTGATGGTTTATCAACCATTGGCACAACTTCAGAAAATGGAGAGGATGTGTCTGCTACCTCTTCAGCAGGAACTTCTGCACCATAAGGCATGTCACCAGCCTCTTCATCATGAACCTCAGGAGCTTCTGCACCGTAAGGCAAGTCAAAAGGATTTTCTGATTCTAGGAACAAGTGATACTGGGGTTGTCTCCTGTTTCTGAAAGGAAACACTTTTTCCTTGAAAGCAATATCCCTATTTACATAAAAAAGTATGATTAGTTAGATCAAATAGCACATAGCCTTTTGTTACTTCTGAGTAACCCATCAAAACAACTGTTATTCCCCTTGTGTCAAACTTATCGTGAATGTTCATCTTCTTGGCATAACAAAGGCACCCAAATGTCCTCAAATGTTGCAGATTGGCCTTACTTTTGTGAAAGACTTCATAAGGACTTTTACCATTCAGGACTAATAATGGCAGTCAGTTGATGATATAAACTGCAGTTAGGACACATTGGCCCCAATACCTCAAAGGATTTCCCCCTTGAAATCTCAGAGCTCTTACTACCTCCAATATGTGTCTATGTTTCCTCTCAACTATTCCATTCTGTTGAGGAGTATAGACACAAGTTCGTTGATGCATAATACCATAATTCTGGAAGAGTGCATTGCACTCATTGTTCAAAAACTCTCCTCCATTGTCAGATCTGAATGCTTTGATTGTTCTATTAAACTGATTCTGTACCAATTTTATGAAGTTCTTTAGCACAACTATGACATCACTCTTTAGTTTCAACAAGTATAACCAAGTCAATCTAGAATGATCATCCACTATAGTAAGAAAAAGTTTATTCCCGTCAAAGGTTTGTACATTGTATGGCCCCCCATACATCAATATGTAGTAAGTTGAAAACTTCATCAGTTCTGCTAGTACTATGTGGAAAGGGTAGTCTGGTGTGCCTTCCTAATGGACATATAGTGCATTGTTCTAGCTGATTCTTACAACTATTCTGAGAAAAATGAAAAAGTTGACTTAGTGTCTTTATTGAAGCATAACCTAGCCTAGTATGCCAGAGTTCAATGTCTTGTTTCTCCTTGCTTGCAATCAAACTTGTTATTTCAGCAGTGTTGTCTGTAGCATATGCTTGAGTAAGTAGATAGAGTCCTCCTCTCTCCTTACCAATCCCCCTCACTTTCCCACTGTAAAGATCCTGGAATACACAAAATTCAGGAAAGAACAAGGCCGAGCATTTCAATTCCTTAGTGAGTTTCGATACAGATAGCAGATTATATTTAAAATCTGGGATGTATAAAACATTGCTCACTATTTCCTTATCATTCAGTCTGCATGACCCTGTGTGAGTTACATATGCGAATGATCCATTAGGTAAACTGACCTTTTCTTATGGATCAGCTATTTTAATTGTATTATCCAACAAGTTCAAATTAGAAGTCATGTGATCTGTTGCTCCCGTATCTATAATCCATTCCTTGCAACTAGATTCTACCAAAAAAGTAGTGATAGCATCATTACCTGCCATATTAGCTGAACTATCAGTTACATTTTCCTTGCCAAGCAGCTTCAGAATTTGCTCATATTGATCTAGTGTGAAATACGGTCCTCTGGTCCCTTCAGAGTTCATCACTCCCTCAGCTGTGTTGACATAGCTGCTACCCTGTGCATCCTGTTTTCTGTTATCATTCACAACAACATTATTAGCTGCATTTCCTCCATATTTCTTCTTAGGTTTGAAATTAGTGGGATATCCAATTATTTTGTAACATTCTGCACGAGTATGTCCCTTTATATGGCAAAAGTCACATTGAACATTAAAATTCCTTTTAGGTTGCTGCATATTCCTTCCCCTAATTGTCATCAAGGCATTCATCTCAGTATTGTCCATTGTTCCCAAGGTATTTGCCATGCTTCTTTGGCTTTCTCTTTCTATCAACATTGAGTATCTTTTTTCACCGTTGGTATAGGAATCATCATCAGGATCTGACTACGAGCCTGCTCATACGACTCATTTAATCCCATCAGAAACTGCAGCGAGTTCTGCCTTTTCATGAATTTCACATAATCACGAGATCTAGGACAATCACACGGAGACTGAGCTAGGGCATCAAACTTATCCCACAACAAACGTAACTTCGAGAAATATGCAGTAATGCTATTTGTTCCCTGCGTCACAGTAGTAATTTGTTTATGAAGCTGAAAAATACGAGATCCATCAATTTTATCAAATCTCTCCTTCAAATCACTCCAAACTGCACTGGCACTTGATGAATATACTATTCCACTGAGCAATTGACTTGATACACAGTTCATTATCCACGATAATACAATCGCATTGCACCTCTCTCGTAGATCAGTCAAATTCGGACCACACTTCTCCTTTTTGCATGTTCTGTCGATGAACCCTAGCTTATTGCGACCTAGGATTGCAATTCTCATCGCACGGCTCCATACCGAGTAGTTCTCCGATCCCGTCAATTGCAGAGAGATCAACACAGTTCCTGAATTATCTGTGGAATTTAGGAATAGAGGATGATTGTGGCTCAATTTCTCTGGTACTTCATTGTCCACCTCTGTCGCCATGTTTCTTACAGATTTCGACTACAATCAAGCTTCAATTTGAAGATTTCACCCACACTAATGGCCGCTAGTGCTCTGATACCATGTGAAAAGAAGCAAATCTAGCTTGTGGCTCACTATATCTGTGAGCCCTAATACATGCAATACGAGAAGAAACGATTTCAGAGAAGAAGGGAGCAGAGAGAAATGTAAGATCTGATTTTGGAAAATGAGAAAATTGTATTGTCTCAGATGTATCGCCTAGCTATTTATACATGTGATGCTATTAAATAAATCACCGACCTTTTAACCACTTCCTAATTGCAGTTATAACTAACTAATTAACTACACCATTACTTCTAACTATAGTTACAATATTCTAACCAATCCCTTTCTCAATATGTTTACCCTTAGCATTTAGCGGTAGCAAAGAAATGAACGATGCAACACTCACTACAAAAATACTATCAATCATCTTAAAGTATATTCAAGGAAATTTTACAAAATCAGTAGTCACTTTTATTTTCATAACAACTGAGAAGAAAAAAAAGGAGGAGGAGGAGGAGGAGAGGGAAAGCTAAGATGAAATAACTCGTCTTAAATTACCTGTGCTCTCTAGATACTAATTAAACTTTTAAGAAAAATAAATACAAGTTGAATGAGGACGATCAAATAATTTGCGAAATTTTTACGTTTTTATCTCAATTTATCGGGTTAAGGTCGGTTCCACCACATTTTCACTACTTGTCAAGTAGTTTCTCTAATTAAAAGATATTATGACACCAAAGGAAAGCAGATTAGGTTGCTTTTAGTTGTAACTTTCAAGTAAACTTCCGAATAAATACCGCTATTCGGCCGATGTGGACATTGAACGGCTTTGATGACTATGTCCTGTTTAATTTTTATAATTTTCTTATAAATTCTATGATTGGGCTAAGGTCTTTATTTTTTATTTTGTCAAACGATAACGACAAAATGTGAGAAACCCTCTTCATTTAATTCCATGAAACATCTTCATCTAAGTATATAATACTTTAATAATATGAAAGCATGTAGGCCAAGAAATCTCAATTCAGAGCGGAATGATTATTGGATTTCAATTGGTTATTTAATTTATAGATATTGGTAAATATTGTACTATAGCAACTTATTGGCAAAAGAAAGAAAATAGAAAGACAAAACATCTCTCTATGTACCTCTATTTACCTAAAAATTGAGTAACAATTAAACTTGTAATGTGGTTTTAAGGATTCGTGATTTCACCCAATATCAATTGTTAACTTAACGAGAAGTGATAGGAATTGACAAGAATGTAAAGCAAAACCAATGCGAGGACGGTGTCCTCGAGCTGATGTAGCCTCGAGCTTAGTAAAACAAGAACAATTAAAGAGCAGTAAGTTGATAAACAAAAGAACGTGAGTTAAAGAAAGAATATTATATTGCTTTGATCTGTATGAATGTAAGGTGTCTACAAATGATGGGGACTCCCCTTTTTATAGAGAGGAATCTAATTATGTTACAATTCTATTATGGAAGTAAATCCCATGATTGGTACGAATAACCGCCCTTAATTTGATTTGTTTTGGGATTTCCGCCATGATCTCCGACCGGTTACGGATATCTCGCTTTCCCGTTATTACACTTTACTCGAAGTCGGTCATACATAGTCTCGATTGCTATTGGCCTCGGTCTCGACGGATATCTCGATTCCTGAATTCGACACCTCGTCTTCGTGTTATAGCCCGATCCACTACGAGGCTGACCCTCGATATGTTCTCCTGGTCTCGATTAACTAGCGAAATCGGGCAAGCCCGAATTTAACCGTATACAACCTCCTAGTAAGATACAATAAGGAGAAAAACCTTCTTCTCCAACCGAATAATGTAAAGAAGTAAATACTAGTAATCATTTTCACAATTTATTTTCGTCTTTATTTTTTTCTTATTTAGCCTCCCTTTCTTTTCCTATCTACTAGTAGTATATATCGTTTCAAACCCAGCCTAAAGTTAGAGCTCAGAGGAGAAACATGCAATGAATTTGACTAAAATGGATTAATAATTAAGATGAGGGTGACTTTAGCTTATTGTTGACAAGTTGGTGGAAGTTTAGGAGGGGTGGTTAATATTTTAATTGCAAATATACCATAGGTTATATCACAAATGGAAGAGAAAGTGTGTAATTAAGTCGGTGGTGCATGAATCAATTTATTGTGGCGTTTGAGAGTGACCTTATATGTCCACGCAAATGACATATCAAATTTTCAAGCACATCGAACTCCAAACACATGTACATTACATGGAGAGATTTCGCTTTTATCCCTTAGTTCCGTTTCAAATTCAAACTGTGACTTACTGCCAAAAGCATTGTGTATTTAATACTCTGTATATAATATGACATTTTCATCAGGTACGACAACCTATTAGTTACTCGGTTCAAAATTAATTCCATACAATAACTTGCATGATTGAAGGCCAGCCTTCGCAAGTGGTAAAGTTGCTGTTACGTGACAAGGAGGTTACGGACTTGAGCCGTAGAAACTGCCTCTTACAGAAATATAGAGTAAGGTTGCATACAATAAACCCTTGTGATACGGCCCTTCCCCGAACCCTGCGCATAACGGGAGCTTAGTTTAGCGGGCTGCTTCTTAACATGCTTGATACTGAATTGTTAAGCAATTAACCCAATCAAATCTCTTCTGTTTGACACTTTGTTAAGTTTAATTAAGTAAATTTATTATTGTTGGCTAGCTAGCTCGGCTTGGGAATATTTTGAGCTAGATGACCTTCCACATCATCATGCCACGTAGGTGCCATTTGGCGTATATTTTTGCCATATGGAAAGCTTACATAGGAAAGAAGCTAGAACTTGTAGGAAAGTTCTAGAGATTATAGAAGTTTCCCTAGGAAGACCCTAGAACCCTATAGAATTGCTAGGAAAGTCCTTAGAAGATTCTAGCTATGTAGAATATTCTAGAGAAGGGACTTACTTGTAAATATTAAGGACTTGTGTAACAATTAATATTTATACAGTAGCCCCTACGAGACTAGTATATAAAGGGGCCATTCATTTGTAAAATCATTAAGCAAACAATTCAAGTTCTATCTAATACAAAAGCTTCATCTGGCAATTCTCATGTGTTCTAACATTCCTTAGCGATCTTTAGTATAGTAAGGCTGACTTGGAATCGCAAGATCGTGAGCAAGTTGTGCAAGATCGTGAACGAGTTGTCAAGTGCCGCACGTGCTCATAGTTTAAGACTAAGGACGTGACATAGATCTGTCCAATAAACGATCCAAACTTGAACGTTTAAGGCTCATTTGGTACACATATGAGCTATACAATATAATAACTAAGCCTTAGTCCCATAATTAATATAGCGTACAATTATGCAAAATTATAACGTAAGAATTATTTTTGTGGTGATTAGTGATAAAAAGATTGTTATACGATGATGAGAAGAAGAAACCCCATGATATCTTTGGTGAAAATAATTTGCTCGTTGATGAAGAATTAGAGAAGGGAAGAAGACTCTCAGACACAAGACCTAGGGATTTCGGACTATACGATGTAAATGGTCTCACATGTGGTTTTAGTGTCTTTTAATTCTGAGCCTTAGACACTGACACGTGTGAGCATCACAGACTCATAGAATTTTTTATCAAGAACCGTTGATGTAAATATGGAATAAGTAGGAAACTTCTCACTACACCTGATTTGCACATGATAGAGAATAAGGAATAAATGTTATTTAGGCATAGGGACTGATAATTGTACATGTGGATAGAATAGGTTAATTTCTGCATTGTTCTTTAAGTTATTTTACATGTATAAATGTAGGCTACACTGAAAAGTGAAATACACAGAGATAATTTCTGGATTCATCAATCTTTCATTCCTTCATGGTATCAGAGCAGATCTCTGCTCAATCCTTGAACTTCATCTTCTAATTTTCCTCTTTCCTTTTGCTCAACTTCATCTACCATCATGACTGGAACAAATTCTCCACCCACACTTTCTCTTTCTGGTTCAATCAGTCAAGCTGTGAATCATGATGTCAACCACCCCTATTTTCTTCACTCTTCAGATGCATCTGGAATGACTCTCGTCACCTCACCCTTTGATGGAAGAGGATTACCAAGCTGGAGAAGATCAATCCCGATTGCATTATCAACCAAAAACAAACTGGGGTTCATCAATGGGGTTTGTGATCAACCTGTCCTGCATTCAAAGGATCATGCACAGGTGCAATGACATGGTAACCTCGTGGCTTTTAAACTATCTAACTAAGGAGATATGAGACAGTGTAATTTATTCCAAATCTGCAAAGGAACTTTGGAATAATCTTGAGCATAGATTTGGACAATCCAATGGAGCCAAGCTCTACCGCCTACAAAAGGTAATTGCTAAGACAGTTCAGGGAAACAACAATATTGCAGGATATTTTACAACTCTGAAAAGTCTATGGGATGAGTTAGATTCCCTAAACTCACATCTAGGTTGCACTTGTACTTATGTGTGTGAAGGAAAGAAGAAGGTAGCCAAGCTCCTAGAGGATCAGAGAGTCATTCAATTTCTCATTGGTTTGAATGATGTGTATGCACATGTAAGAGGAAACATCCTCATGATAAGCCCACTTCTAAGCATGGATCATGCCTACTCTTTCCTTCTGCAAGATGAAAGTCAGAGAAAAATATATGTTATCCCACAATATCCATCAGATGGTGCATCTTTCATGGTAGGATCTCAAGGGACGTTCAATCAAAGGAACAACATTCAGAAATCCTGGGGAACTCCTCAAAAACAGGGGAACAATCAGAACATACAACAAAAATTCAGAAAGAAGACAAAGTACAATCCCTGATGATTTTCAATTCACAAAATCAACCAATTATCAGCCTGTAATAAAGGGAAATGCAGTGGTGGCAGGACAAGACAGTGAAGAGAAGTCCAACACTTGGAGTGAAGCAAACATGAGCAATCAGAACCAACTTTTCAGTCAGGAGGAAGTGTTAGAATTGGTAAACATAATCAAGCAAGTGCAGATTGGGAGTGTAGGAACCACAACATCAGAAATCAATACTAATGTTATAGCTGGTACCATACTCAAATACACAGGAACTTGTCTTGCTATTTTTAACACTAAAACATGGATTATTGACTCAGGGGCCTATGAACATATGTGTTTTGATGCTAGTTCTTTCTTAACTCTTACCCCTCTACCTGCACCTTTGTACATTAGTTTACCCAATTTGTTTCAGTTGTGTGTTACACACATAGGTAGTGTGTCTATTCATCCTGATATGATTCTTCATAGGGTGCTTCATGTCCTTTATTTCAAGTATAACTTATTATGTGTTCATAAGTTATATCTTCAATTCAGTTGCTCTTTAAATCTAACTTCTAGTGGTTGTCTATTGCAGGTCCCTTTAATGAGGAGGGGACAAGTTTTTGGTGAAGTTAGAGATGGATTGTACCTGTTCCAGCCACCTAAAATAGAGTATGTTTCTTTATTTAGACAAAATGTCGTTTCCATTCCAAAAGGAAGAAATTCCAGTGTTATTTCTCTAGTACCTTTAGTTGCTAATGTTACATCTTATGTAAAGCAATGGCATGTTAGGCTAGGGCATTTGCCCTTTTCAATAATGAGAAATCTGAGTTTCATTAACTTTCCCTCCAATTTTGATTGTGTGTGTCACATTTGTCCTCAAGCTAGGCAGACCAGACTGCCTTATCCTTTAAGTCATATTATGAGTTCTGCTATCTTTGATTTAATTCATATTAACACTTGGGGGCCCTTCAAGACTGTAACTTATAATGGTTACAAGTATTTCTTAACTATTATGGATGACTATAGTAGGGCAATTTGGACTTTTCTTTTAAGTTCTAAGGGGAATGCTTTTTCAGTCTTGAAATCATTTCTATGCATGATAGATAGACAGTTTAACTTGAAAGTCAAGAAGATCAGATCTGACAATGCCATGCAACTAGAAAAAGGATCACTAGAGGCAAGCTTTCTTGAATCTCAAGGGATTATACATGAGACTTCTTGTGTTGCAACCCCTCAACAGAATGGAGTAGTTGAGAGGAAGTATAGACATCTTTTAGAAGTAGCAAGAGATCTATTATTTCAAGGCGCCTCTCCAATACTGGGGAGAGTGTGTGCTGACAACTACATATCTAATCAACAGAATCCCTTCTAAAGTTATGAATGGTTAAAAACCCTATGAGGTGCTGCTTGGTAAACAACCCAACTATGATTCACTCAAAAGTTTTGGTTGTTTATGCTATGCATCAACTTTGTCTCACAACAGGGGGAAGTTTGAACCTAGGGCAAAGGTTGTGAGTTCCTAGGATATGCCCAGAATCAGAATACAAAGTTCTAGATCTTGATACTAAAAGGGTGTTTGTTTCTAGAGATGTGAGTTCCCGTGAACATCAATTTCCTTTTGCTCACTCACTTTTAACATCTGATTTTCCTTTCTTTCCACTAGCTACAGTTCCACCAGATACCTTATCTCATAGCTCAACAAAATATATCCTAGGACACACTCACCATCACCATCTCCCACATTGTCTTCACCTCAATCTACCCTCTCCTCACCTAGCAGTTCTTCTCAGTTCCTGCTTCTTCTACTCCAACCAATATCACCCTCACACCTTCAGAATCCACTCCTCTTTCATATCCTTCTTACTCACCCATCCTGTCTAGATCACTTTCTCCCTCATCAACCAGCACACCTATTACAATTCCTCCTCCACCAGTCAGAAAATCTGACAAAGTAACTCAAAAACCATCTTATTTAAATGATTACATTTGCAACAACATTTACCTATCCGACCTTAGTTCCTGTCTATCTAAACCTCTCAAGCCAAATGCCTTCTCCTTCAATGCACTTTCTATGAACAATCAGCATCTACTTACCTCTATTTCTTCCAAATCAGAACCTAGCAGTTATCTATAGGCTTCTACTCATCCTGGGTGGAAGAAGGCCATGGATGCTGAAATTTCAGCACTTGAACTAAATCACACTTGGGATGTTGTACCCTTACCACCAAGGAAGAAAGCTTGCCCTGTAAGTGAGTGTACAAGATGAAGCACAATTCAGATGGTACAATTGAAAGGTTAAAAGCTAGGTTAGTGGTGAGGGGGGACATTCACAGAGAAGGGATAGATTATTCAGAAACTTTTTCACCTGTGGTAAAGATGACTACCATCAGGTGTCTCTTGGCTGTGGCTATTAAAAAGGAGTGGAATGTGTCACAACTTGATGTCAATAATGCCTTCTTGCGTGGGGATTTGCAAGAAGAGGTCTATATGAAATTCCCTGCAGGTTTGACTCCTCCTCAACCTAATCATGTCCGTCGCTTAAGAAAATCACTCTATGGCCTAAAGCAAGCGCAAGGCAATGGTATGCTAGGTTAGCTGGGGCTCTCAACTACAAAGGTTACTCCAGATCTCTAAATGATTATTCATTATTATACAAGCAATCAGGTGACTATCTTGGCTGTCTATGTGGATGACATACTACTCACAGGAAATGACACCATAGAAATTGCACATATTACAACATTTCTAAACAAAGAATTCAAAGAAAAACATCTTGGAGACATTCATCATTTTTTGGGTATGGAAACTCTCAGAGAAAAGCAAGGTTTTATCATAGGGCAAAGGCGATTTACCTTGGATCTCTTGGCAGAATTAGATTGCACTGGTCATGCTGTTTCTTCACCACTCGACCCTTACTCCAAATTGCAAGTTGATGTGGAAGAGCCTTTGTCTGATCCTATTGTTTATCGCCACCTTGTTGGAAAGCTCAACTATTTAACCAATACCAGGCCAGACCTCTGTTTTATTGTTCTTTGCTTGAGCCAGTACATGCAACGCCCCTGCATTTCCCATTACTCTGCAGCTTTGTGTGTTCTCCGCTATTTGCGCATTGATCCTTCTCAAGGGATCTTTCTCACTACAGATCCCTCCTTTGATTTACTCGCCTTTAGTGACACAGACTGGGCGGCCTGAAGATATTCTCGATGTTCTGTAGGTGGTTTTTTTCATCACCCTTGGTGGAGCTCCGATTTCATGGAAATCCAAGAAGCAGGTTTCATTTCCCTTTCCTCTGCTGAAGCTGAGTACCGGTCGATGGGGCATGTAACTGCTGAAGTCACTTGGTTGGTGCGGCTTCTCTCTGACCTCTCTGTAGCTCCGACTTTGCCGATCCCTATTCAGTCCGACAGTCAGGCGGCGATTCACATCGCCCGCAACCCCGTTTTCCATAAGCGTACCAAGCACGTAGAGCTCGATTGCCACTTTGTCAGGCAACAATTTCTCTCCAGCTTAATCACCCTCTCCTTCGTTCCATCGGAGCAACAACTCGCCGATCTCTTCACCAAACCCCTTTTTGGGGTTTCTCACAGAACCATTTTGAACAAGTTGGGGGTCCTTTCCCTCCCCTCCAACTTGATGGGGGGGGGGG